AGCAACGAGACGGGGGCGAGGGATGCCCATGGAATTAATTTGAAAACTGTCGAAGAGAACCACGGCAAAAACCATACAGCGTACGGATTCGGCGAGACACAGACTGTGTCGGCCTCGTGTAAGGGCAGTGTCGACCTCAAACTTGAGAAAGGTTTCGGCCATTCTGTACACCTCTTTCCAGCTGCGATCCTTTCTCTTCAGTATCCAGGCGGCTTTATTGAGAAAATCTTTGTGGGTTGACCGGGAGACTGTGGTCAGTGAATTTCTGATTTCATATGCCGCCGTCAACCGATGGTTCTCCATGGCGCGCAGACGCAAGCGTTGTTCCAGGGTCGGTCTCCCCGCGTAGTCGAAGTTTGCTATACTCAGCTGCTGATGGACCCATCTCTGGAGTCTCCGAGTTCGCCGTATTCGGAAGAGGAGAAGAAAAAAATAGACGGTACATGTACCTACAAGTACAGATGCTGTGCCTATGCTAGGCAGTGAGACCGCCATGATCTTGTTGAGATGTCAGTTCCTACCAACCACCTGATCAAATCGTGGGATGCGTTGATTGTGATTGAGCAGCGATGATAGTTTGTATGGCCACAACTGAGAGGAGAGAACCCAAGGGCTCGTTTTGCTATTCATTAATCACATTTATATGCCAATCTTTGCTTAACTCTTGTGCCATTTTTTTTGTCAACGCTCCTAGTTTGTTCGATGGGCTACTGAGGTGCGACAGCAATTTCGTTCGGCTCATTGCAGGCGCTGTAGGCCTCACGACCGGAGGTTGCTTGACGTGTACAAAATGACTGGCGCGTTTGCTTGCGCCAGGCCTGCTGCCACCGCAGCCTATCACTTGATACTGGGCCATGGAGCATCAGAGGGTCTCTCATCAGTACGGCTCCTCTTGTCATTTTGATGACCCATCCTGAATCACGTGTTGGTAATGAGTTAATAACCGTCTCACGCTCACTAACCCCGCTTACCTGTCTGCAAGACAACAAGGAAGCAAGGACTAATCTGGCATGGCAAGCTCTGAACCGTACAGCCTATTCTATGATTCCCGGAAGGTTTTGTGTGCAAACAACCAAGCATTCACTTCCGTCTAGCCGTGACTCCGGGAGCCTGCAGCATTTGAAGGGGGGTACTGAACTCAGCTAACTATTACTTGTAGAGTAAACAAGCAGTCACAAATCAATGGCACGTTGGAATTAATTCTAGTACTTGCATGAGGTGTTCAGTAAGCGGGTGTCTTTACTCGACTGAATAAACTCAGAACACTCAGCTAAGTTATTAGTTAGATGGCTTCGAGCTACTTTCAGCTTTCATATTCTGGGATGTGACTGGGCATACGGCAACTCTGCTTTCAGCCGATGAGATAGATGGTCATTGCGGAAACTGCGGAAGTTGATGAGTCATTTGAAGTTGAATTTCCATCAGCTTGCGCCTTGCATGTCATACCGCGTAGATTCCAGCGCTAACTCCTAACTGATCATGTTACTGGCTTTTATTCTTGTTGTAGGAACTAGCTGAAATCGGATCCTGCCACCACTAGAACGGAATCACGATGGCCGCCTAATATTGGAGCCTTTGGCACACTCCCAAAGATGGGACGCGTTCCATATTCGGACCGTGACAAAGAACTCACGGAGCTTCTGGCGTCTTTCGTCGCCGCGTTGCAAGCAGAAAACACGCAGTTACAAACCATAGATCCATCATTAGACTGCGCGCAGCGCCTGGCACATTCACTATTCCTAGCACCAGGTGAGATTCGATTGCAGACGAGGGGCACGGCAGTGATGAGAAAGAGGCCAGCAGAAACGAATCCAGCATCAGCAGCCCAACCAGCCAAGCCAGCACTATTTGAGACCGCGCCGGTGTTTCCGGTTGACAATGCACGTCGACTGGAAGCTACAGCAACTGTTCCTTGATGACTTCGAGCCTCTCCGCAAAGATGTTCAGATGGTCAATGCCTCTGCTAGAGACTTCATAGACCGTTGGGGTTGCTAGTGGTTTCGTTTTTATTTTCACCTGTCATCCGTGACAAAATGATTTCTACATTGAGCCTTAAACCGTCCAAGGATCGAATCATCAAATCATACCTTCTTTTGGGCAACATGTCGCCGTTCCCCAGACGACAGGAGCCATCACGCCTCGAAAAGGAAACTACCGCGATGTGCTGGCGCGGCCGGGAGCCTTCAAGTAAGTTGGGACGATCTGGACCTCATTTTGAGAAACCTGCATCTGCGTGGCGGTTTCTTTCCAATTCTAATCACCACCTGGACGATTTCATGACCCTCCGAAATATTATAGTTACTGAACTTTTCTTTTGCTGTCGCCTTGACTTGAAGGTTGTTTTTGTCGAAAATAACTATGCCCCACCTCGGGCCATGATTCTGCGGTTGATTGTGACGGCGTTGCGCGATACTGTACTGCTGGAGGAGATCGCTGCCCAGATGACGATTGTCCATAGTGACGCCGACAAGTACGATAATCTTGTATTTGATGTCAAACAATTCTTGAAACCTCAGCGCTACTTTTGGATGATTGATATTTTCGAAGCATTTCAGAAGGATATGCGGGACGCCATCACTCAATGGACGAATTGATGCAGCGCTTGGGCGCCGCCTCTTCTCAGTTATGAGAGGAGATATTATGGTACAATCAAGAGGCGCCGAGTGTGTGACGTGGATGCATTTTTCTATTATCGAGTGCCATGAGCTTATTGGCATGCCGCGCGGAACATGTTGGGTAGGACGGAGAAACCCCAGGATGGTGTAAGTGATAACCCAGATGCGATTCCAACCCGATCATCTAAACAATGACGGCGAGACTGACGCAAAGATAACCACAAAAATCAGCTCTTCAATTCAAGCAGCATCATTTAAAGCCGCGCGCCACCGACTTGGGCCAGAATGTCAAGCTATTCGACTACGTGGGCATATTTTACATGTCGCTGGCCGCCTGTGCTGCTTTCTAAAGCATAAACGCCGACTACGGTCCGACGGCCATTGGGATAGTGACCGCGTATGTGGCCGCTGTTACCAATGTCTTAGTGGCGGACCTTAATAACGCCATCCAGCAGGCCGCGTTTCAGGGCACTCGAGGTACGTCGTCAGGCTTTCGTTCTGGTGACTCTTGGTTCTTTTGAAAGAGGAAGGAGTAGGGAGAGTAAACGCATCAGTCTCAAGAACTTAAAACAAGTGTTAGAGGAGCAAAGAACGAAGGAGAGAAGAAGGAGGAGAAAGAAAAAGGGCAATGCGAGCAAGGAAATAGAAAGGGTAGAGTCAGTGAAAGCGAAGAGGAGGGGGAGCAGGGAAGTGGAGGGAAAGATGAAGGTAAGCATCAAGGAGAGGGAAAGTAAACTAAGAGAAGGGGAGAAGTAGGAGGGATCGCCCGGAAAAGGGAGACGTTGAAGGAGCGAGAAGGAGCTAGGCGGCGGAAACAAAGAGAGCATGGTTTGGGACCCGAATATTCTGCAACGATATATAGGTTAGTCTGAAAAATATTGATATATCAAAGCCCGCATGGCTCAGTGGTAGAGCGTGTCACTAGTAATGACAAGGTCACTAGTTCGATTCTGGTTGTGGGCAACACACCGGTGAGCTTTTTTGCCGCCCTTGCCGACCTCCATTCGATTTCATGATCCACTTTTGAACCCGCCACCTGCATCGACTGAACCAGGCTCACAACTTGGGTAAATTCACAGTTGCGGCTGAGGTGGCTGAAGGGAGTCCAACAGCCCTCTTCCCCCTCTCCTTTCATCCAAGATAACCGCCAGGAGCCGAAGGTGGTTCGACAGGCAACGAACCAAGCATCAACACCATGCCGCCAGCTCAGTCACCAGTCCCAACTCTGATACCGGGCCCGATCCCTGACGCCGTCTTGCGAGACGTTTACAGTTCCGACCAGGATATGTACCCGGTCTCGCTGCCCTACGCCCGACTGCACGCATGGGTTGACGCCTGCCAGGACTTGAGTGTTTGCTTCCACTTTGATCAAGGTGATAATAGCCTCGCTTCTAGCGCTGCTGCTGGCTATGCTGACGGCGGTCCTGGCAGTGGCAGTGGCGGGCGACTGGCCGTGGGGCATGGGAGGGATGGTGCGGGGAGCGCGGCAGGTGGCATTGTGGCGGGTGTGGTGATTGTATTGCCTCTCCGTAGGCCATTCTGGGAGGATCTGCTCAGGGGCCGAGTGAAGGAGTGGGAGATTGAACCCCGAAACATGTTTGCGTTTCCTGAGCAAGACTCAGATGATCGACATGGACGAAATGGAAAAAGCGAAGGTGAAGAGGTTGGATTGCACGTATATCATATCGAGAAGTTTGGAATGTGGTTCAGGGGACAAGGAAACAAGCGGTTTTCGGAATTGGCTTTGGAGGAGGTCATGACAAGGGTACAGGTCAGGCGAGAATGGAAAATTGTGGGCATGTCAGGTACGTTTAGTGTTGCGTCGTGGAAGTGGAGGGAGCTGAGGATACGGCATGCTAACGGTGGACGGCAGCACTTACTGCCACGCCGGCAGGGAAGATGGCGTTCGAGCGTTTAGGCTTCTCCACGACGGGTTACAAAGAGTTGTTTGTTGCAGGCGGTCAGGGACATGATGAAACCACGGACAAGGGACCGCTGGAAATAGTCTGCGTTTACCCGGGTGACAGGATGGAACCAGATAGGGTGGCTGGCAGAGGCGTCATTACATCGGTGTCTGAAATGACAGCCAAGTCTCTCACCACCCCTGGAATTGACTGAGTGTAGGAGTAGCTTCGGAAATCGCGGAAATCGAGAATAAAGTTAGGTGCTTGGATCAGGTGCTAGTATTGAATCAGACTCTTGCAGAATCTAAAGGGTAAAAGGCTCCAATCCAACTAGGGAAGCTTTAACTACGTGGAAAACATCACTAATACTTCGCAGGTATGCGCAATGCTTCGGGGTTGACGGAGGAAAAGTGGAGAAGAACAAAGAAGAATTGAGACCGGACGATGCAGCTAGCCGTCGGGACCACAACTGGCAAAAGAGAGGTCCTACCCGGAATCGAACCGGGGTTGCCGGAATGTTCCGAAAAGATCAGAATCCGGAGTGATAACCGCTACACTATAGAACCTTGCGTTCAATTGGTCGGCGATTAAGTGGAGAAATACTTTTATAACAGATAGTTACTAACACCATACGGTCATGTGATTATTCAAGTGAGACCCAACAGAGTTCTACGTCAGCAAAAGAACAACTGACAAACTGACTGATGGCAATTTCTGCGGTTAGAGTGTGCAATGGGTCCTTTATTATAAGCCCTGCCAGTGAGTAGGTTGTGGCAGCCGGCCGGCGGACCGCGGAGCTCGCAGCAAGTCGGCACGGATTTACAAATGGGAGCGGTCCGCAGAGCCCCAATGGGGATGACGAAGGCAGGAAAAGTGACAACATTGGCATTTCGAATGTTGCAATCGATATGATATTTCCGATAAAAATTCAGGTTGTTCAACTTGGTTGGATTGACACATTTGTAGTTACGATACAATACAGTTGTTAACCACTCAACAAAAGCGGCAATAGTCGGTGTTCTTGGGGCCTGCAAGCTGCAAGGGACCGTTCTTTTTGCTTCTGACAACTTCGAAGCCGACTATGGATAAATCAAAACAATTGATGCCAGTTCCCGAGAGCATGGCTAGGGTCACAGCAAGGGGTGGAAATTGATAACTTACCTAAGGGGCATGATTTGCGCTGTTGTACCTGGAGGTGTCTCAGCCCATGGTCATTGTGCCAAGCAAAGAAGGATAGCTCTGATTACGCAGTCTGTGTCTGCTTAGTATTTTACGGACCTATCGTCACTTGGGAAGAAAACGAATGGAATCACAAAGCTCAAGATACAATGTGTATGCTGCATTTTAATGCCGCCTCAAAATACCCGGTCATGAATGTGCCATCAAATTTGTTCAGGCTGTCCTTCTCTCGGGTGCCTGCTTTTGACCGGTCCGAAACGGCCATAACACACCCTGTAGATTCGTTGGCGTATTGAGGAGGTGGCGTTATACCAAAGCCTATACTAGCATTCGAATCTTCCGGCGTGTAGAGTCTCAGGCATTACTAGGTCTGGACTCGGGAGAGGAATCTGCACAATCGCGTTTCCTGAGTGCCCAAACGGGAAAACATCATGTCGATGACCGATAATGCTAGTGGCTCAAGCGAGAACTGCGGAAGGCTGAAGGGCAGAATGGACTTGGAGAACACGAGCATGCACCCCTGGATTTTTGCTCAACAGATTCAGATTCACAGCCATCCAGAATGTCGATATAAACAGTCCTCTTGTTCCGCTGCCACTCAAACTCTCTCCTCAGCATCGACAACTAGTGCAGCTCATCTCCAAACACATATCATCACTACCTTCGGTTTCTTCGACCACCACCCTCCCACCAGCTCCGCCAAAATGCAACTTACCAGACTCTTCACTATTCTAGCCGTCGCTATGACCGGCTCTGCTCTCCCCACTGCCTCAGAAGCCATCACTGCTTCAGACAAAAAAATGCCCGACAAAGTCAGCTTAGAGTACTGCTCTAAAAACAAGCTGTCAACCGTCTGCTGCCAAAACATACTCAGCTGCCTCGTCACCATACTCGGCGTACCGTGCCCTGGTACTCTCCACTGCTGTGACCTCAGCAAGCAGGTGAGCCATCCACCCGCCATTCTTGAAGTGACCCATCGACCCACCAGAATATCTCTCCCCTTCCCTACCTACCTAAGCCCATGAACCGTTTCACTATATCTTGAAACTAACCGAGGGCACGTCCCATCCCCTCTCAGACTCAGAATGGTTTAATCAACCTCAATATGTTCCCCTGCTCCGATATTATGTGAGACGATCCATGGCACCAATCGCTCCAACTTGATTCATCGAGGGATGGATCCTCGACTACGCAGAGGGTTGCTGTCGGACAAAGAACCAGGATGCAAGCGTAGTGTGCACATTCATACAATCTGAAGGCACACATTTTTGTTCTTAATGTCCTCTTGCTTCGTTGCGAAAGGCAGGGGTGATTTTGCGGGGTTTCCTGTTTTCTCGTCTTGCAAATTCTGGTTGTGTGTTGATGTTCAGAGCCTGGTCATAATGAAGGAGGGGGAGGGCTCAAAGCATTTACACTCAATCTACAAAGAGAGATAGGCGGAAGTAGCATAGTTTGGGCAATTTGACGATTTGTGCTGCCCGCTCATTATTCTCCTGTTTTGTTTGTTGTCTGATTTGCAAGATACATACCTCAGTGTCCACCAGCCTTGGTCCTAATTCAGGGGCTGACGGTAAACCAATGGGCCGGCGCTTCTGAACTGCAACCAAACCGTGTCCCAAAAGGATGGAGAGCCACTTCGACATTTTCGGGCTTCCCAAAATCAGCATAGAGTGGTGTCTTACTGGAAAAGCTGCAGCATTCGGACTAAAGCTGATGTGTGTCCATCGCTTACTGCGTGGTACATTTCCCCTGCATTGCCCCTGCGTAAAAATCTGAACCCTTGAAAGTGTCATGCAAGGGGCAGCAATGTGATATGAGTCAAGGCGCCCGGGATAAGCGAGAAGGCCTCTCAACGTATATGCGAATATATGAACCGCTTTGATGTGATAACATGAGATAATCATGATCAGAGGGGCTGGGCTGAAGTCAAATTTGCTACACTGAGGTTGCCACAAATATAAAAGAAAAAGAAAAAAAAACGTCAGAAATCCTAATGGGGCCGGGAAAAGTACAATCAGATATCGCAACGAAAGCGACAGAGAAATGCAATGGCAAATATTAACAAGCTCTGGAAGTTATCGTTATATTGGTTGTTAATTCAAGCACGAGATTGTTCTGTCCTTGCCGGCATGCAACCGTGTTAGCCCGGCCCAGCTTGGCTTACACAGTCCAGGGTGCCGCTCCAAAATTTCCAAATGATCTATACGTTGCTATAAACTCAGGCCCCCACAAGATTTGCAATCGCGACAATATCGTTCCGGTGGTTAGGCCTGTCCCGTAGCGACTGTAACAGCACCGCCTTTTTCGACAGTGTCGGCCTCGTGGATGACATTCGTTTTTTTGATAGAATCGTTCTGATTAACGGAACCTGTCCCGTTGACAGCCGTGCCGTTGAGCAAGAAGCCGTTCTCAGCCATCCAGCTTGCAGTCCACCACGGTCGGTGCTGAAAAGTATCGATCTCCAACTGCTTCGCAATGCCGCGCTTGTTTCTGATTCTTTCCTGAGTCTCCGGAGAGCTGTCATCGTAAAGCGGTCCGACAATGCTGTGATACACTACTCGGGCTGGGCCCATCTCCCCCACCCGCCGCAACTTGTCTGCCGCGATAAATTCATCGTTGGGCGGGACCCCGCGCGCTAGGTGCACCAGCGACGTAGGTCTCCAGTCCCTGTCCGAGAGCCACGCCGGCCTCGCGTCCTGGGTTTCGTAGGCGGGGACGATGCTAACAGACTCCCAATCTACGACGGCGGTGAGTTTGAAGGTGGCGGGGTCGAGCAGCAAATTGTGTTCTGAAAGGTCGTCGTGCCAGAGAACCCCACGATCCTCTGGTCTGTTCTCATGCGGGACGAGACGCGCAACCAGAGCTTTCAACTGATTGAAAAGGTCAAATATGCGATCCTTATTACGCTCCAGTTCTCGATCGTTCTCACAGTACCAGGCCTCCCCCTCGACTGGTGACAGGTGTCGGAGTCGCCGCTCGAGGAGCTGCACACGCATATCAACCAGCTCCCGGGTTGTTTGGAACGGCCCACGCGACCCAGGATAGTACACCCGTTTGTCAAAGAAAAATTCCTGGGCGACGATCCGGCCTATGACAAAACGGCCCCCAGGGCCTATGTCTCTGTCGACGATTTCGATACCCTTGTTCTCCTTTGCTGGGGATGAGACCTTATCAGGGGGGAGTACCCGGTCAGCGACGTCGGCAAAGTACAGATTCCCGAACTTGCTGAATCGCAGCGCAACCAGCTGCTTGACATGTACCGCCAACTCGGCAAATACGCCGACTCGGGCAGCTTCGGGCATGGCGCCCCAGAGCTTGCGGAGAGGCTCGCCAGGCATTTGCTCCATCAGAATCCACTCGTACCCTAGCTCGTTGTCGTCGCTTGAGGAGTAGGCAACCACTCGTGGAATGGGCATGGTCGTATGCTGTCGGACGTATTCCATTGTGGCAATCTCGCTTTCCGTCTTGAAGAACGGCTCAACGGGAATTGAGACGCGGAAGAGGTAGGCCCGACCCCAGTTCGGGTTGGTAAGGCTATAGAGACGATTGAAGGTGCCCTTGGCAAAATACCGAATGTCCGCGTTGGCGAAGTCGGGGAATTGGCGGGCAAGGATCAGGCGGATGCTGCTGATCCAAGCATTGTGATCGAGCTCGTCGGGCCAATATCGTTCAAGATAGCCGTCATCTTGATGGCTTCTCCAGTATCGGTGGAGGTCCTCGGGAGGCGGCTTGGGCTGATGAGTCTTGGATACGCGAATGGGGAGACTGACGTTGGTGAATTGCGAGCCCATTTTTGCGGGCGATGGGTTCTTGCCGACGACCGATCAACGTTTCTGAATGTGCTCTGGAGAATTTAAACAGGGAGATACAGCAAACCGCTGATAGGATGAAAACTAGCCAAACTACCGAACGCGACTGCCACAACCTGAGCAGGTCACCTTCGTGGAAGGTACTGGCCGGCCTCATTAATCTTCTAAATTTGCGCAGCTTCCTCGCTTTCAGCGATTCCGCGGCCAACTGCCACAGGGCATCAAGAGTTTCATAATTTGCGGCGTTTCCTGCTTCGATAGAGTCTCAAACCGTCTGTTCTCAGCGGAACGCAGGAATGATGGCTGATCTTGGGATGAAACGGCCGAGTATCTGTTGGATTACATCACTGAAACTTTGTTCATTAAAGATTGAATGTGATCCTTCTGCTTCCGGGATTCTTTCAATCACGCATCATTGCATTGCTGAAGACTCAACTCGACGAGTCGATTGGCAATTCACATAGAGAATTCTGCAGTCATACGGCAGCATACGAAGAACTATTGACAAGATAATACCAGAGCCATGGGCAAACCTCATAGAGCTTGGCTTTAATGCGAGGACCATATGTAAGAAACAT